AGTTTCAGCCTCCCAGCTTTCCTGGTTGTTGAGATGAAAGCGGGTGACAAAATGCACTCGCTTTCCGAACACACTCACACAGACAGCCTCTCGACAATATGTGTTTTTGCTGGCTGTAGCAGCTTTATAGCGCCGCTATAGCGCTGCGCAGCAAAAACGCATAAATAATGTTTTTTATAATGACTTCGACGTCGCTTGTTTTCATTGATTATAAAAATCGCTTTTTATTAAATCTTCGCTTTCAATTCTACCAGTTTTGTAGGTGAACTGGTAAGTGGCCAGCTGCAAAGCCCACTGTCCGAATACATCGAAGGAAGACTTGGCAACAGGAAAATTTGGTGGTGCCCTTCCGGATACGGTTTGCCATTCACTTTTCTTAAGTAGATTTCAGATGCTAAACATGGTTGCTGGGCAGGGTGTGCTGTTTTTTCTGCGTGAGTATCCACAAGTTTTTATTTTTTATCGTGTGTTACTGATCGAGATACTATGCTCAAATAATGGAGTATGAGACTTTCTAGTGACATAAGAATACTCCTACTGGTGACGTATGAAGACTTTTTTGACCAAAAAACAAATTTGATTCAAAATACAACTCCGACTCGGAAACGCACCTTTGTGATCTACTGTTGACCCAGAAAATACTCATCCTCATAAAATCGTCCGCCTATATGCGCAAATCACACTTTTGAATCTTATGTCGATTTTACAACAGCGACAAAATCGTTCCTCAGGAGAATCAAAAGTTCATTAAATAACAGTTTCGGCTTCTAGACATGCCGCTTTTTCCACGTTGTTTTCACAAGACAACCTGTGTCCATGCTAGCGCTTACATTTCCAATAAGCAATTTGGACTAATCGGCAACAACAGGACCATTTGGGTGTCTTTTCATTGTGCCTCGCTTTAGCCGCAGACCTTGGGGCAAGAGCTTAAGATGTATTTATGTTAGAAAAATTTATGAAAATAATTTGAGAAATCGATGCCACGGTCTGTTACAGGTTATCTGGCCTATTGCCCGCAACCAACAGACTGGGATAGCTACAACTGGTGCTGTACATGGCCCTATCTGGGCTCCTGGAAGCCCTCGTGCTGTCAGTTTGCCATTCCAACTGGCGCACTTGTTGCCATCATTATGGCCTCCGTCATATTTGTTGCCTGTTAGTTTTTTCCCTTAAACAATTGCATAATTCTGTGATCTGCTTTTTATGCGATTTTGCATATATGCAAATGCACAAACGCATATTGCGACGACCCCGGTGTGCGTGTGTGCATATATATATATATATGTATATATATATATATCTGCGTATGTGTGTGCATCTGTCCGGGTATTTCAACTCGGCGCCCAAGCAAGCTCCAGCGCCAAACTTTTGCGATGGGGTTCCCCGGCCAGGTGCCACCCCACGACCGCGGTACCAATAGTTACGCACGTCTAGGCCACGCGTACGAGCGTCTCAAAGTTTTGGCAGGAAAATCGCTAACTTGGGACCAGAAAAGCTAGAAAGCTGAAATTTTGGGATTATGTTCTCCGCCCATATAGAACTCAAAGATTTTAAATTCAGCCCCCAGGTGTGTGTTTTTCCCGCGTACGGCCCCGTGAGGGTCCCTGGAGCGAAAATCGGTAGCTCGAGAACCAAGAAAGCTGGAGGGCTGAAACTTTCAGCGATTGTTCCCAGTTCATTTACTGTTTAAATTTATCAGTTTCAGGCCCCCATTATACGTGATGGCCACATATGGCCTTGCGAAAATTTTTGGCGGGAAATGGCTAACTCTGGAACCAGGGAAGCTGGGAGGCTGGAACTTTCAGGAAATGTTCCCAACTCATCTACAAGTTAAAGTTATCAAATTCGGCCCTCCGTGATGCGTGGTGGCCACCTACGGCCCAGTGAAATTTTCTGGTTGTAATTTTGGTAATTCAGGAACTAAGAAAGCTGGGAACCTGGGATTTCAAGGGAATGTTCCCTGTTCTAGTATAGCATGGATAATTAACTTCCCGAAATTCGAGGGTCAGTACGTACAAGAGGTTTCTAGCTAGCGGAATTTCGAGTGATCTTGTTACAGCACGAAACACTACAAAAGCGCATGATCGCACGGGCCCGCCCAGCGCGCATCGCCAGTGATTTTAATTTGCAAAATGTATTGAACATCGAGGAACCATTCGGTTTGCACGGCATAGCAGTTCGGAAAAATAATGTAAAGCAACTGCTCGACCAGGATTATTTCTGAGACTCGCCGGGGAAGAAGTGGGAGGAAAGTGACACTACGCAGAAGATTTTTTTTCAAATATGAATACAACTGCGCGGTGTAATAGAGTCGGAGCGAAGACGCATCGGAGCCTAGCAATATCTGACCGGATTTCGAGTAATATCGGAGTTGGAAAATACTTCCTACCTATTGCTTAATATATAGGAGAATACGGCTTGCTGAAAATGATTAACATCATTCGTCCATGCAGGACAAAAAAGATTGAAATAGGAGTAAAAAATAATGAAACAAATGTGAAAAAATTTATGGAGATGTGTAGAATATTCGGTAGTGAAAAATTACTTGGCTTGATGAGTGCGAAGTATAATAACTGAATATTTAAAGTTAAGGACTTCTAAAAACACAATAATTACCTGTATGAACCAAAAACTTAATCTATCTTCTTCACTCGCGCAGACAGCGTTTCTTACAGCTTTAGTGACTGGAAGCAGGTTTAGGTGTCTAACATCTTCTGTGTTATAAATATGGGATGAATTGTTCTGGGTGGCATTTTACCGAACGCAGACAACACCTTCTACAATAAATACCAATACCTGCTGGACAGTCGTTGTACAAATGTCATGCTAGTGATGCTACGAATGTTATACGAGGCTATATGGTCCTGGGGGGCACAGGCGCCAGTTATTACCTATTATCTGTTAGAATATGTGCAAAATCTCTTGTGGAGTTGCCAAGTGGTCATTTATTTCCTTGCAAATGGTCAGTTATTCAATGGCCATTTATTTCCCTCACTAATACGCGACATCCACGCCTTGATTGCAGCGTAAATTCGTATGTATATGATTCGCAAAACTGATACTTAAAAATATACATATACTTCAACATCTGCATACATTTGCAGTGTTGATATTCTTGTCATGCTGGTGCTGCTTCTGTTGCCCATTGTATAGGCAGCTATACGATTATGAAGAAGACGAAAAACATTGATTCAAAAGAGCTCTCCGTGGGCGATGTGCAGTTGGAACGCGCAACTACTACATCCGTAAGCAGGCGAAATTTCTAGAAACTTCACTTCAAGGTTTAAAAATTGTAGTCTTGTCATTTGAACGCTTCTTTCGAAGCATTTTTTTTCAAACTGTAAACAAAATCCTCTCTGCTGGAAAAATTTCAAAAGGTGTCGAACCGACAAGTTTCTGGATTGTTTGCCGTACGATTGTCATTCCTTCAATACATGATCTGAAATGGCCTGTGTGCAGTCTAATCCAACTAGGTATCGCCCCGAAAGCGAAATGATGCTTACTAGTATGTCACAAAAACGTTATGCTGATCTTCAGCTTGCTTCCCAAGCTATCATCGAAAGAGGAAACCATCGATAGCGTGAGTTCATCAACAGTTTGGTCAGTAGCTCGATACTAATGAAAGCACCCTCGCTTGACCTAATCCTGGCCATAAAGGAAAATGTCCAGTAGCAGTTTTTGGTTCAAGCCCTTATAAAACGAATACAAAATTGAAAAACAATCAAACTTACAGCATTCCATTGATTTTGTTGATTAGACTGTTCTCCCAGTATTCTTTATGCTCCGTACGCCCGTCTGTTAGTCATACCGGGTCCGTTGAAAACCAAAATTATTCTTCAGCAGCCATGTTTTGAATTATTCGGATTTAAAATTTTTGTATTAACTCAGTGGATGATACTTCAGCCCGCTCGTCCAAAAATTTTAAAAACAAAAAGTCTGAAATACAAGTGTGAGCTGGAATGCTGGAAAAACAGACTTGAATATCTGAATTAGATGCTATTTCATGGTTTGGTTCCCCACTTGCGCGTTAGCAATTTTCCCAGTTGGTTTGACCAATGCTGCATTGTTTGGTGGTCAAGCTGCTTAAAATATCAAGTTTTGAAGTTGTAAATTTGTCGTACGCCAAAAGCAAGGATTGTTTCTGTGCTTGCTTCTTCTCCTCCACCGCATCCCAGTGTCGTGATTGTGGCGTGCGCCAGAACTCATACTTTAACGTTCTGATATCTATTTTTATGTTGCAACTCCTTGAAAACTGCTTTGTAATTCTTTTATTATTTACCGTCGAATTTTGGACTTTAGTTTCTAAAAGCGGCAAAGGCAAGGGAACAAAGGACAAAGATCACGCTTTTAGAGTAAATCTAAGCACCAGGCTTGAAGTGCCAGCATGCGTTTTTGTACCAGACTTGAAGTACTCAGGTCATTAACTCCATGAATGGTGTAAATCACTATAAATTTTAATGAGCAATTTCCATTTAACGGTTGCTGTTTGATAGTAACCTAGCTGTTCAGTGAGTAATTTCCCCGTCAAAACTTTTAAGTGCCCATGCATGAAAATCACGCCTATTTGAAGGCTGAATTTGAAATATTTAAGTTGTACTTGGGCAGGGAACACTCCCCTAAAATTTCAGCCTTCTGGCTTTTCTCGTCCCCGAATCAGAAATTTTCCCGCCAAAGCTTTTACATGCCCGTGCATGTGTGCACCACGTGCCCATACCCCTTTACATGCCCATACATGGGCGCACCCCTAAAATTTCAGCCTTCCAGCCCTCCTGGTTCCCAATTTAGTAACCTTCCCGTCAAATCTTTCACGTGCTCGTACGTGACTACCGCGCACAACTGGAGGCTGAATTGAAATGTTTAAGTTGTACTTGGACACGGAACATTTCGCCAGAATTTCAGCTTCCTAGCTTTTCTGGTTCTCGAGTTGGAAATTTTCCCGCCAAATCTTCCACGCCCGCACCTAAGTACGACGTATAACTGGAAGCTTAATTTGAAATATTTAGTTCATAGATGCACAGGGAATATCTCTACGAAGTTTTAGCCCTTATCTCTCTGGCTTCCAAGATTGCTTTCCCGTCAAAAAATTTGCATATTTTTGTACGACGCCCGCATGTGGCACACAGATTACGCGAGGGCTAATATTAAAACGGGAGAGTCGTGCATGGTGTGGGCTATTTCCAAAGTTTCAGCGTTCTAGCTTTTCTGGTTCTCGAGTTTAAAAGGGGTGACAAAAAATGGGAACACACAGACACACACACACAGACACACACACAGGCACACACGCACACACAAACACACGCATCGTCTTCCCAATATACGTTTTTGCAATTTGCGTATATGGAAAAACGCATAAAAAATGACTAAGTCGACTTCACGAACAAAGGAATCACTACAGTGCATGCAGTTTTCAATAGTCCAAATTCTCCGTGGACTTTGATCTGCGTCGATTGAACAAAATTGATTGATTCCTAGCAATAAGAAATCCCTTCCCGCTCTCGTTCCCTCAGCGTGGTACTCGCGCCTTTCAACGAGGAAGATTTTTACTGGTGATTCATGATCTTTCCGCTAACCTTGCTGAAACACTTTGCCATCATGTGAAGTGGTTTTTTTATGCCTTCTGTTTCATTTATTTCGGGCCATTGGCATGAGCCCAGTGGTCAAAGAGCCTTATTAAATGGTTTTGTGATGATCCGCAGCAAATTGGTTGCTGCGGATCTTTCTGCAGCATAGCCAGATTATTCCCATAAACAGCACCTCTGGGAGACTCTCGCACAAGAAGCGACCGGCTATTCTGGCTATGCTAATTGCTGCATGCATTTATTCCCCATGTTCTACTTATTCAAGCCTTGTTGTACTATGCCAGGTACTTATGCTAAAATTGTGAAGCTCATAGGTTGCGTTTAAATGTCAAATGTTCTTTTTGCGCGTTGTTATTGTATGTGTTTGAACCGTACTCGCCGCACGTCCAACACTGCTAGTTCCATCACTCGTCTGATACCGACCTCGCTTTAATTTTCCAGACCAGGCCAACTTTTCGTGATTTACTACATCTTCCCCAAGACTATTCACGCGGAAAACAATTTTTTCAATGTGCAAAAAATTATAATCCGTTTGATTCTAAATGTTGTAAGCTGCTAATTGTGGTGGCATCGTTGTTTGCAGTTGGATTCTCGTTTTTACCTCGCTTAAACAGTTCACTCATATGTCTAATGTTTGTAAAAAAATGAATAGATCGACACTTCTTGACTAAGTATGAAGGCTTAAGAGAACAAAAAGAATTACTGAGTAAAGTAAAAAAAAGGCTAAAAAAGCGAGGAGCAAAAGAATCGAAACACTAACGGCATCAACAATTAATCATATTAAAGCAGATTGTTTCGGCACAGGGCTTAAATATTTTTACTATATGTGCACAACAGACTAGTCAAAAATAAATATTTAAAACGATTCATCAGAGAAGCACGATGTGTTGGTGTGGAACTTTCGATGTTAGTAGGATTTAGCAATATAAAAATGAACAATCGACGGGATGCAAGAAAGATATGCATAATACTTGAGAAAAATCCTAGGAGGAGGCAAAAGACAGTGAAAAGTAAAATGGAATAAAATTCGTTGTAAACTGATGAGTATGTAATTACTGTGAATATGGTGCTCCTGTTTCAGCTCCAGATTATACATAGAAAACGTATGGTTATAGCGAAGTCTCGTCAGTACACCATCACAGCCATTTCATATAATATATCAGCAGTGAATGTGAGCAGTGTCTTATTGTTAACTAAAAATAAGGCAAAAATAGTCAAAATTCATCAAACTGAATTGTTTGATTAGAGAAAGGGGAAGACGAAACTGTTGTGGTAACAGAGCTAATTGTCGATTTTATCATCTCTACATCTTCAGCATTCCACTTTTCGTCGTTTTTATGCGTTCATGCACATATGCAGAACTGTGCAGAACGCATATTGTGATGACCCAGGTGTGTATGTTTGTGTGTGTGTGTGCGTGTGTGTGTGCGTGTGTGTACGTCTGTCCGGGTATTTCGACTTGCCAACCAAGCAAGCTCTGGCGCCAAAATTTTGTCAGTGAATTCCCCGGTCAAGTGACGCCCCAGGACCGCGGTACCAGCCCTCACGCAAGTCTGTGCCCCTTGTACGAGGGTGAAAGTTTTAACGGGAGAGTCGCCAGCTCGGGAACCAGAAAAGCTAGAAAGCTGAGACTTTGTGATTACGTTCTCCGTGCAGATAGGGCTCAAAGACTTCAAATTCAGCCCCCAAGTGTGCGTGATTCCCGCGTGCGGTCCTGTGAGGTTCCCTGACGGAAAAATCGCTAACTTGGAATCCAGGGAAGCTGGGAGGCTGAAATTTTAAGGAGATGTCTCCAGTCCATCTACAACTTAAAGTTATCAATTTCAGCCCCGGCATGCGTGGTTCTCAGGCACTCCGAAACATATCAGTGGTAGGCTTTCGTGCAGCGGTTTAGGGGAAAGATCTTGAAGCCATGAGAAAATTCACTTGGCGAGAGCGGGCATAGCGAAACACCTTGTAGGAAATCTTATGCAGGCACTCTTTGGCCATTAATCTAACAGCAGACAATTTTTCTCTCCTGATCTTGCTTTCGGCAAATTTCTTGTTTCAGATTGTAAGCCTTGGGTAGCGGACCACAACTCCAGCTTTTGCATTTTTTATTGCCTTTCTTCACCTTCTTCAACACCTCTCCTGCCTCCAAAACGCAAATTTTACTTTCAGAATTTAATAAATTCTTTAATATTTGATAGTGTTCAGTCAGGCGTTGCACCGACGATTTCCACTTCGGTATTGTAAAGAAATGTATTCGTTTCTTCCTTCCTATTTTACTTTTTAAGCGTTTTTGCACACATGCAAATGCAAAAACGCATATTGGCAGAAACTTTCTGTGTGTATGTCTCTATGTTCGCACTTTTTGTCACCCACTTCCAACTCGAAAACCAGAAAAGCTAGAAGGTTGAAACTTCGGCAGTATGTGCCCGCACCATGTGCTACCCCCATTTTAATATCACCTTCCGTGCACGCCTCGATCCTACGTACGAGCGTCCTGAAAAAACATGCAAATTTTTTGACGGGAAAGCAACCTCAGGAACCAGAAAAGATAGAGGTCTGAAACTCTGCATAGGCATTCCTGTGCATGCATGAGCTAAAGATTTCAAATTCAATCTCTAGG